GTCCATGGTTTGATTTCAAGCGACCAATCTTCTTCTGAGGGATATAATCTCCCAGCCCCAATTCTCGGAATTCTTCCCATATTCCTATGAGGTTTTGTTGCACTAGACTCGTTGGTTTTCCTTTGAGATACAAATTTTTGCCTTTTAAAATTTTGTTGTCTTGCCAAGATATCATTGTGTTGATTCGGCCTTGCAACAATTTTCTGGGCATTAATTTTGTTTCCAACTCCTTGTCTCATTGTGCTATGTTGACTTTTCACAAATTTTACCACTGGAACTTTATTAATTAAAGTAGTAGTAGAATTAGTCAACTTTTGAGGGGTTTTAGAACATGATGGATCGTAGCCTAGTCCGGCTTTATCTCCAGCGGGTTTTTGCATGCTTACCATTTTATCCATTATTTTGGATGAATTTGTAAATGATGCGATTACTTCCCGAAGGTTATGTTCTCGAACCTCTCTAGCTTTGCACTCTTCTTGAAGTCGAACATTTTCGGCTTTCAAATTACTCATTTCATTTAGAGCATTTTGCAATTTTTGTGACATTTCTTCCTTTTCAAGAATTAATGTATTATTGTGCTCTTTGATTTGAGTATGATTGGCCATGACTTTTTGACAATCTTCCATAAGACTTTGAAAAGATTTTTGAGTCTCGAAAGAGGTGTCAACGGAACTAAAAGAACTAAAAGAACTAGAAGATACCTCTCCATCGGTTTCACGCGCCATATAGCATTCTTCATGTTCGGATGTTTTGCCCATTAGACATAGTAGCGTCGTATCTTCTTGTGATGAATCACTCTCGTCACTAGATGATTCTTCGGATTCACTTGCTTCTAGCGGATCGCTTATTTGTGCCTTCCGTTTATCCTTTTTGAATTTCTTCTCTTTCAACTTATACTCAACTTGTGGAGAGTTAGAAGTATTCGAATTTTTGTTCACCTTGGGATGTGGACATTCGGCCATAAAATGTCCAGGCTTTCTACAATTGTAACACACATTTGTGTTATCTTCGACCGGTTCCCTTCTTGATCTTCTATTCTCTCGAAAAGATTTTCCTTGTGGTGATCCTTTGTTCTTTCGCATGAACTTCTTGCATTTCCTAACAAATAAGGAAAATTGTTCGTCAGATAAAAAATCATTATTTACGACTGACCTTGATGTAGATGGTTGTTCGGCCATCAATGCGGATGTTCGTTCATCACGTTCTTCTTCATTTCGTGTCATCATCTCGAACTCATACGCCTTTAGATCACTAAAGAGTTTATCCGTAGATAATGTCCTTAGATCTCTATGATCGCGCACTGCGGTCACCTTCATATCCCAATTTGTAGGTAGTCCGCGTAATACTTTGAGCGATATTTCCTTCTGGGTAATGGTCTTTCCCAGATCCGTGATTTCTCCAAGTATTTTGATCAATCGAGCTTCCATGTCGGTGATGCTTTCGTTCGGTAGCATTTTGAAATCTTCGAACCTTTTCATGGCAATGGTTAGCTTGTTGTCTTTTTCTTGTTCATCGCCTTCACCGATACTAATGAGAGTATCCCATATTTCTTTTGCCGTGGTGCACTTTCGAATCTTTGGGAATATGGTGTCATCAACCGTTTTGAACAAAATGTCATTGGCAATATTGTCCAAGTTATTTCGTCCTCTATCTTCCTTTGTCCACTCCATTTTTGGCTTTGGAATATATCGTGGAGCATTTGGATCTCGTGGGGTAGCGGTATTAGCTTCCATAATTTGGATAGGACCATTTGTGATGACTTCCCACATTTCATCATTTAAAGCAGATAAGTGCACCTGCATACGTATTTTCCAATCATCAAATTTATCAAGTGAGAAAAGCAAATTTTGAGCAAGAACCATATCTCTCTTCATCTTGAAGTTTTTCGAGATCTGCCTAGCAGTCAAAATTGACTCAAATAGACAACTGCTCTGATACCACTTGTTGGTCCCGAAAGGGTGGCGAGAAGTCTAGAGGGGGGGGTGAATAGACTTCTCTAACTTTTTCAAACTTCTTCTGCAAACAACACTTTGTAACTTCAACTCTAAGTATCAAGCATAAACAAGTATAACAATTTAGAGTGTGCACAGGGGAAATGTAACGACAAAGTGTTATGCTTTAAATTGTGTCGTGCTCAAGAGAGTTTTCATACATGCATCATGTTAGAAACACTTAATATAGATGTAGGATGATGTATATAAAATTTCACTTGCATGCAAACGAGGGAACTATCAAACCCAGACAGATAAAGATACGCAATAAACCATAACGGGTTAGTTCACAAATAATATAGGCATGCACGGAATATATATGAGCAGTAAGCAAATAGAGAGAGAGAGTTATAGTGGTTAAGAGGTGGTGTAATCCTCCTAGTCCACTCTTCTCCTTTCACTTCAAGGAGGAAATTCACTATTCTTCAATCACCCAGATACAATAGTGAATAAGTGCCCAACGACACTTCTCCGAGTGCTTCGCACAAAGCTACACTCCACCAAGGTTTTTTCGCAAGCTCCTCTTGTTACTCCGCCTTCCCGAGTACTTCGCACCAAGCTGTACTCCTACACCACGAGAACTACGCACAAAGCTACGCTCTCACGGGTTTTCACAAGCTCCCCTTGTTACTCTGCCCGTTACAACCGAGTGCTATGCACCAAGCTACACTTCAACTGGGTTTTTCACTCTCCCTAGTTACTCTACCCCTTTTCTACACTCAGTAGAAGATTTACAATGAAATACAAAGATTTCTTCTCTCAGGCTTGAATTCTATCTTATATAGCTCAATATACCACTTGATGATTGATTGGATAATTTTCTTTGTTGTTCAAGTGTTTTCTGAATCTCTGTTAGATTCGTGCTTGTCTTCAAGTCTGCTTGGGCAATTTATAGCAGATGAAAGCTATTTGCCCGTTGATCAACTTTCGATCTCGATCGTCCATTTTGAATTGTAGTTGATCAAATAATTTTGCCAACTTGGTCTGCAAAAATCATTTCGCCGTCTGTCAGAAGATTTTGAGAAATCTCGCCGTTGCTCTCCTTTAATCTGACAAAGCTTTTCTTTGGAATGGGTAGCCTCCAATTTTGAATTTTCTCTGGCATGACTTTTGTTGAATTATTGATCTGATGTGCCAAGTTGATCAAATAATTTATCTGCTGATTCTTGCTTGAGTATTAAAAAGATTTCCTTCGTATATCAGCTTCTTCTTCTCCTTCGACATCTTCTGCAGAAACAGAGCTTCAAAATAATGTTTCTGTCTAATTCTATCATGATGTCATAGCTCTTTTTTATGATGTCATGTCCCAATAGCGTATCATGTTCCACCTTGTATCATGGACTATATATATATCATGTTCCACCTTGTATCATGGACTATATATATCATGTTCCACCTTGTATCATGGACTATATGTATCATGTTCCATTTCATATCATGAGCTAGCTATCATGTTCCACCTTGTATCATGGACCAAATATCACGTTCCATTGTATATCATGGACCAATATCATGTTTTCATAAAATTGCTTCAAGTGGGAATCAAACTGTGGACCATTTGCTCTGCTTGGCAAGGTTTCTTCCATCTCAACTAGGTATCCAATTAATAAAATCCAAGACTTAAATTCTTTTGTCTTGTCTCCTCCACGTGTTCTCCACTAGCTTTATCACATTGTGATGTCATTACCCGATAGTCGTGACGTCATCATCCGATAATTCTCAACTATCACGTTAAAAATTGTTCTTTCATGATAGTATTACCTTCTTGTGACATCATCTCCTGATATTGCTTCTTCACGATAGCATTTCATCTTTACACCAAAATTGCTCTCATTAAGAATCGAACTGTGAATATCTTGCATTAGGCATGTTTCAACAAGTCTTTTACCATCTCGTCCATCTCAACCTTTGGTAACTTGATGCTTCATAAATCTGTTAAGCTATGATCCCGCTTTCATTTATTCTTCCTTCAAAACTGCTTTCACGTAGACTTCATGTAGGCTTCATGGCAGTGGTGCACTATACTTTGTGAACCAAAACTGACTCAAATAAAATAAAATTGGGGTCTACAAAATACATTTGGCTCATCAAAACTTATACAATATATTTCTAACACAATATTTTTTAACCGTTGTTTATGTGAGTGACTTTTAACAACACCGGTTTCAACAACACTTAATAGACAACAGTTAAAAAACCGTTGTCATTTCTAGAAAAGAGAACGATTTTTAACCGTTGTCTATATGCGTGACTTACAACAACACCAGCTTTAACAACACTTAATAGACAACGGTTGAAAAACCGTTGTCGTTTCTAGAAAAGACAACGGTTAAAAACTGTTGTCTATGCGCGAGACTTACAACAACACCGGCTTCAACAACAGAAGTTTTACCCCTACGACAACGGTTATTAACCGTTGTCTATGTGCATTTTTCTTGTAGTGAAAGGGAACCCGTGGGTCCCTTTTGTTTCTTCTTTTTTTCTTTTTAAATTTTAATTTTATTTTGCATATCGTTTTGTTATAATTTTATAATAATAATAAATTGTTAAAATGGCGAATTTGTCAGCAATCAAATCATAATAATAATAATAATAATAATAATAATAATAATAATAATAATAATAATAATAATAATAATAATAATAATAATAATAATAAGAGTTAATCAACGATTTGGTCTCTCAATTATTACCAAACTGTCAATGTAGTCCCCCAATTGCTTAATCATCGATTTAGTCCCCGAAAACAATTATTTTTAGTTAATTTAGTCCCTCCGGTCGTCTTCCGTCGATAGCTGGAGGGACTAAATAGACTAAAAATAATTGTTTTCGGGGACCAAATCAATGGCAGGAGGGACTAAATTGACTAAAAATAATTGTTTTCGGGGACTAAATCAATGATTAAGCAATTGGGGGACTACATTAACAGTTTGGTAATAATTGAGGGACCAAATCGTTGATTAACTCTTATTATTATTATTATTATTATTATTATTTGAGAATAAAAGCTTAATGCATTAAATCAGAACTGAGAATGTCCACAAGAAACTGGGGTGGTTCATGATACCACTCCCCGCAACCTGACAAAGAAACGGCTTCCCTAGCAAGAGCATGGGTAGCACGGTTCGCAGACCGCCTAGCAAAGTAGAAGATCACATCCGGAATCTGAGATGCAACCTCCTTTACATCATCTACTACTAAACCAAAGGACGAACAATAAGTATTTAAAGTTAAAGCATGAAAAACAAGCTGTGAATCAGTTTCCACATCTATAACACCGAAACCCAAACCTTTCACCCAGCTGAGTGTTTCACGTACTCCTACAGCTTCCGCCTCCTTCACTCCATATAAACCCGGGTAAGTAACACATTTTGCCGCTACAAACTCCCCATGCTCATCACGCACAATCCACCCCATTCCCATCACCCCATTGCCAGCATCCATTGCCACATCTGTATTCAGTTTTAGTTCCCATGCCCCGGGGGTGTCCAACGCTCCTCGGCAATAGGCGCAGCAACACCCCCTGAGTAATACTCCTCCAGTTATTCCAATAGCACAGGGCAGAACGTAACACTCCATCCATTGAATAAGGCACATTATTCCACACAGCATCATTACGACTGCACCACACACCCCAACAAACCATGGCAAACTTACACAAGTTTTCCCCACTCAACATAGCAAAATTCTCAAAAATCCAGTTAGAGATATTACCATGCGTTTGGGCCGACACCTGGAGGTTCAATAGGGACCAAATCTTCCTAACTTCAGCACAAGATGCAAACAAATGTAATGCAGACTCCTCCTGCTGACGGCACAAATGACACGTTAAAGCACAAAACACCCGTTTGGCAACCAAGATATCACGTGTGGGAAGATAAAGAGAAGCTAGCTGCCAACAAAAAGCTCTCACCTTAGGAGGTACCTCAAGCTCCCATATTCTCACCCATGGCCTAGTATCCGCCACCTCCCCAATTAGCATTCTGTACGCAGACTTGACCGTATACTTTCCCTTGGTCTCGGCAGCCCAAAACCAAGAATCCGGTGGCAGCCTCTTACTCAACGGGATGCTCATAATAAGACGCACGTCCCGCTGCTCAAAGATATCCCCCAAACATTCGCAGTCCCATTCAGTTCTGTTCACAACAAAAAGAGAAGATACCGGGGCAACAGCTATAGTCTCATTCAATCCCGTTAAAACAAACAGGGTGGCAGAATCCGGCAACCAAGGATCAATCCCGATTCTTGTTGTTTTTCCATCTCCAATGTGGCGTCTACTCCCACCACGTAGCAGATCCTGAACTTCCATTAACCCCCTCCAGATATAGGATGGATTACTTCCCAACTTTGCATCAAAGTAGGAACAGGTTGGGAAATACCGAGCCTTATACACTCGGGACATCAAAGAATTTGGTAGCGTTAATAGCCGCCACGCCTGTTTACCAAGTAAAGCCTTGTTCATCTCATGCAACTTCCGAAAGCCCATACCCCCACTACGTTTCGGTGTACACAACCCCTCCCAACTCCACCATCTAATCCCCTTGCCATTCCCAATGGTACCAGTCCACCAATACTCATTCATCAGCGTTTGTATTTCCCTGCAAAGGCCAAGAGGTAACAAGAACACCATCATAGCATAAGAAGGCAACGCATGTATTACACTTTTTAATAGGACCTCCCTCCCAGCTCTAGAGAGAAACCGAGCATTCCAACTCCTTATTCTACTCAATATTTTCCCCTTCAAATAACCCAGAATCTCACTCTTCTTCCTCCCAACTAATGATGGCAGCCCTAAATACTTCTCCGACGTATCCCCTTCACGAACCCCTAGAATATCTGTAACATTCATACGCTCCTCATGCACCGTATTAGTACTAAAGCACACCATCGACTTGTCATAATTAACTAGCTGCCCAGATGCCTTTGCATATGTGTCCAAAACCCATTTCATCGTCTCACACTCACCCAGAGACGCACGGAAGAAAAGGAAACAATCATCTGCGAACAGGAGGTGCGAAACTGGAGGTGCCCCCCGCGCTACATGCAGACCATGCAGCAGTCCACGAGCTACCTGACGCTCTAACAAAGCACTCAGTCCTTCCGTGATAAAAAGGAAGAGATAAGGAGATAGCGGGTCACCTTGGCGCAAACCACGTCCCGGGATTATTGGACCAAACTGATTCTGGTCGTGTAACACATGATACTTCGCCGAACGCACCGTTTCTGCAATAATCTCAACCCATTTCGGGTCAAAACCCATCTTCAACATCACACGTCGTAAAAAGCACCACTCCACCCGGTCGTACGCTTTACTCATATCAACCTTTAAAGCTGCCACACCCTGCCTTCCCTGGGACTTTCTCTTCAAATAATGATGTGCCTCATATGCAACCATGATGTTATCTGTTATCAAGCGTCCCGGAATAAACGCACTCTGTGCCGTATTGATAAGCCCCTCTAATACCGACTTCATCTGATTAGCACATACCTTCGCTGCTATCTTATATAGCACATTACAAAGTGCTATCGGCCTCAAATCCTTCATTGAGTCTGGGTTTGGCTTCTTAGGGACTAGGACTATAAATGTATCATTTGCTTTAGTGGGCAACGTCGCTGTCTGGATAAAGTCCCTGCAGAATAACGTTACATCCCCACCTAGTATGTCCCAAAAATGCTGATAAAACCCCGGTCCCAGCCCATCAGGCCCCGGAGATTTGTCCGGATGCATTTGAAACACAGAACAACGCACCTCCTCCTGGCTTACCACCCGTAATAGCCTATCATTCACCCCGTGGCCTATCCGTGAATTTATGCAGCTCACAACCTCCTCCATATCACAATCTGTAGCCGTAAAGAGGTTTGTAAAATACTCCACCATCACCTCCCCCATCACTTCAACAGTGTCAACCATAGTCCCATCCTCCCTCCTCAGTTGCCTTATTTGGTTTCTGCGCTTCCTCCCCTTCACAGAGTTATGGAAAAACCTCGTATTAAGGTCCCCCCCCCCCCCCCCCGGTACCAATGTTCCTTGGCCCGCTGCTTCCAGTATATATGTTGCTGATCTAACAAGTAAAGCCACTCTTTCGCCGTACGTGAATACTCCTCATATCCAGCATCATCCCTACGCAAACGTAGCCGGTCAAGCCGACTCCTACAAACATCAATTCTGCGCTGGAACTCCTTATTATATGACTTCCCCCACCTCCAGATATCCTGTCCACACACGGCAATCCGATCAAACACATCCATTCCCATCGTACGGCCCCAACTATTATCCACAATTTCTCTGCACCTATCCTCCCGTAGCTAGACATTGTCAAAACAGAAACGACGCCTCCTGACCCCATTCACCACCACCAATGGCGTGAGTAGCAGTGGTGAATGATCACTATAAGGGCAAGAGAGAGAAGTAGCCATTGCACCCCCAAATAGAGCCATCCAGGATTCAGTGGCTAGAATCCTATCCAGCTTCTCCTCCACCATGTTCGGTGTTCCACGACCCTTAACCCAAGTGAACTGATTCCCTTGAAAAGCAAAGTCCTCAAGCCCACAATCCGCCACCGCCTCACCAAACCCCCTTACTAACCAATTAGGATGAGGAACACGTCCTCTCTTCTCAGTATGGTGCATAATATCATTGAAGTCGCCCATCACCACCCAAGGTAATGCACTCACACCCGCAAGTCCCCTTAGTATTTGCCATGACTCCCTTCTACGGGATCGATCAGCATACCCATAAAACCCCGTAAACCGCCAAATTGGAGTGCCCGTGTCCAGAATCACTGTTGAATCTATATGATTGGAAGAGTACCCCGTGATCACCACCTCCACCGCCCCGTGCCACAGCAGCACAAGTCCCCCACTATGCCCATCAGCATCCACTACAAACATATTTTGATATCCCAGCTGCACTCTCACAGACTCCATTCGCTGTTTATCCATAAACGTTTCTATTAGAAAAACCACCTTCGGCCTCTTTGCGCGGACTATATCCGCTAACACTCGAACTGCCGTAGGGTTGCCAAGCCCCCGACAATTCCATGACAGGAGACTCATGATTCTTGGCGGGCTTGCACCGCAAGTTCCGCCACCAGTCCGTTTTTTGACACATCCGCTTCAATATCCATCCCAGAGGTCTCACCCAGCACAGTCCCCTCATCCACATCCACTCTCCGGCGCTTCGGATCATTAACAACCACTACCCGCCCATGTTCACTGTCCGGAATTTCCGTCACTACTGCACTGCCGCCAGCCACACTGCCTTCGGCGGACGATTCTGCCACTGTGCTCAATACCGGCGTCCTCCAAGCCCTCCGCTACACCGTAGTCTCTGGATGTATCCAGCTCTGGCCATTGGATGGTACGCCCCTCCTCAACCCCGCCCGTAGCCAAGCACCGAAAGGCCTTTCAGCCTTCGGATCAATCCTTTGGAGCGCCTTATGACAATATTTCTCCCCATGGCCTATCACCCCACACAAGAAGCAAAAAGTTGGTAGTCTCTCGTATTTAAAGTCAATTACCGCCCAGTCCCCACTGTCCTTCTTCAACTTCATTTGTTTCTTCAACGGCTTCGCAACATCTAATGAAACACGTACCCGATAGTAGGTACGCATTCCCCCATCAAAATTACGCTCATCTAGCTCAATTAACGTGCCAAGGAACGAACCAATTGCAGTCACAACCACATCAGACCTGAACCCAGATGGTAACCCATGAATTTGCACCCACAGCTCCGCATGCGTTAGTGGGATTGTATCAGGATCTTCCCCCGGCTGCACTTGCTTCAAAATCAACAAGCACTGTTCATACGTCCAGGGTCCGTCGCGTAGGATACGGCTAACATCTCCATCATGATAGAACCGGAAGAGATAGCGTCGGGGTTGCAACTCACGAGTATTCACTCCCATGACAGGCCTCCACACAGAAGCCATGGTATCCTGGAAAAAATTGAAACGCACAGGTTTCTCCGTGACTAAGCGTCCAACAACATAAATCCCGTCATCAACATCTGCATGGGGTAGTTGTGCGTCCGATATCTGCACAGTATTGTCCTCATCTCCAACATCAGCCAACGTTAGATTCGCAAGGGACGCTATTGTGTCCGATGCCATCGTGTTTCTACCGGAAAACACTAAAAAGCGGCGACAAAACCCTAGAAAGGAAAAAGGCTCGTGAAGGTAGCGAGAGGAAAAAGTTTCTAATTGTTCATGTATTTTATTATATTATTGTTATTATTTGATTACTGACAAATTCGCCATTTTTACAATCTATACTATATACAATAACAAAATCCTGAAATTTTAACTTCCCACCCAATTCCTAAAAATTCTCTCTTCCTAATAAAATATATTGATTTCTACTTTCCCATTCGTACAATAATTCTTTCTGAAAATTCTAATATAATATATACTATATATATCTATACTATATATAATAACAAAATCCTGAAATTTTAACTTCCCCCAATTCCTAAAAATTCTCTCTTCCTAATAAAATATATTTATTTCTACTTTCCCATTCGTACAATAATTTTGCCTGAAAATTATATTCTAATCTATACTATCTATAATAACAAAATTCTGAAATTTTAACTTCCCGCCCAATTCCTAAAAATTCTCTCTTCCTAATAAAATATATTGATTTCTACTTTTCCATTCGTACAATAATTCTTCCTGAAAATTCTATTCTAATATTATAAAATAGTGTAATACAATCTATACTATATATCATAACAAAATCCTGAAATTTTAACTTCCCGCCCAATTCCTAAAGAATCTCTCTTCCTAACAAAATATATTGATTTCTACTTTCCCATTCGTACAATAATTCTGCCTGAAAATTCTATTCTAATATTATAAAACAGTGTAATACAATCTATACTATATATAATAACAAAATCCTAAAATTTTAACTCCCGCCCAATTCCTAAAAAATCTCTCTTCCTAATATAATATATTGATTTCTACTTTCTCATTCGTACAATAATTTTTCCTGAAAATTCTATTCTAATCTATACTATATATAATAACTAAATCCTGAAATTTTAACTTCCCGCCCAATTCCTAAAAAATCTCTCTTCCTAATATAATATATTGATTTCTACTTTCCCATTCGTACAATAATTCTGCCTGAAAATTCTATTCTAATATTATAAAACAGTGTAATACAATCTATACTATATATAATAACAAAATCCTAAAATTTTAACTCCCGCCCAATTCCTAACAAATCTCTCTTCCTAATATAATATATTGATTTCTACTTTCTCATTCGTACAATAATTTTTCCTGAAAATTCTATTCTAATCTATACTATATATAATAACTAAATCCTGAAATTTTAACTTCCCGCCCAATTCCTAAAAAATCTCTCTTCCTAATATAATATATTGATTTCTACTTTCCCATTCGTACAATAATTCTGCCAGAAAATTCTATTCTAATATTATAAAATAGTGTAATACAATCTGTACTATATATAAGAACAAAATTCTGAAATTTTAACAACAATAATTCTGGGATATAATTCTATTCTAATATTATAAAATTGTGTAATACTATTCATATTCTAATCTATATCTATACTATATATTAGTGTTGCAAAAATCGCGCCACTGGCCGCGGCGAGGAAGGCCGGAATCGGCCTCCTCCGCGGCCGCCTCGCCGGTTGAGCCGGCGTTTAATTTTTTTTTTTTTTTTTAAAGTTGTAAAGTGTCAAAAGTTTAGCAAGGCATAACTTTTGACTCGGTTGTCCGTTTTCGACGAATGTTTTTTTGAAATCGCGTAGTTTTTCGTGATCTATCCACCGCAAACAGCCGTAGGTGGTTTGGCCCACTAATTTTTAAAAAAATTACTTTATTAAATAGTTTCTATGAAAAAACTATGAGAACCTTATGTTTTATTAATGATTTTTTAAAAATTTTAATTAAAAAATTAGCCCGTGCATTATTTAATAATCTTTCTTTATAATTTTTTCAAATTATTTAATTATGGTAAATTATGGAATAATTAATTATGGTAATAGAAATCCTAGAAGAATATAGAATTGAAGAATATTTAATTATTGCTATATTATTATTGTGACTCACGGAATACAATACAAGAATATTTAATTAGGGTTATATTATTATTGTGCCTCGCGACCATCTATCTATCTATCAATATAATAAAGCAGTAAATTTCTACTACAACCATTATCCCGCCCAAACAATACGGCGCCGTTTAGAGTATGCAGATTAGAGTTTGCGAATCGATGGTGCCCAAGTAACGTTTGGCTTTCCAATGACAATTATACGGCTAATATGTTATGCTACCAAGGATATTCAATAGACTTCTAACTATGTAAGACTTCTAATCATAACCTATATAAAATCTATTTCCAAGATTGCTTGAATCGATTTAAATATATACACGTAAAGACCTTAAGATACACACATACAGATTTAAAAATGTATTTAAAATAAATGCTTCCAAAAAATCTGCATGATTATTGAGATTAAATTCTTGGAAACTAAAAGGTTTCCATCAATATTCCGGCTGCAAATAATGGTAGGTTCAACTTTCGAATTCCACTTCTTCAGCCTATATAAACCTCACTGTCAAGCTTTTTTCACCCACCATTGTTCCAAATCAGCCTTAAGTAGTAAACCAATTTGTAAACCCCTGCATATTTTAAGATGCCAAGTCAATATATTTTGGTTAAAGATGTTGTCCCTCTAAATAGAGAGAGGGCCATTCGAATTAGGTGTGTCAGAGTTTATGAAATACCTGAAAGGAGAGGTGCGAAACAGATGAAGAGTAGAGAGCTTGTGGTATGCGATGAAGAGGTAAGCACTATTTCGTACACACTGTTACATTTTCCTTTCTTTGTTTTCACACTATAAAATCTGTTCACTATTCTATCATGAAATACAGGGAACATTTATTCATGTAAACATGCAAAACTCGGATGTAGACAAGTACAAGAATGTGTTCAAGGAAGGGAAGCTATATTCTCTAAAAAATTTTCTTGTGTTCAGTCAGTACTATATGTATAGGACTTGTGACCATAAGTATATGATAAGGTTGAACTACAATACTCAGGTCAAGGCAATCAAATCCAGAGGGTTTCCTACCAACATGTTTCAGCTTAACCCTATCAATGTCTTAAAGATCCAACATTAGTGAATGACAAAGTCATGTTTGGTAAGTAATTTTTGCAGATTTCATTTTTTTACTTTGCAGATTTCATTTTTTAACTTTGCAGATTTCATTTTTTAAGCTATATAATCTTCTATTGTTGTATTACAGATGTTATAGGCAGAGTCATTGAGATTCATGCACCATTAGACAAAATAATAGGGGGGAAACCAGCCAAACTAATAGATTTCAAGATAGCAGACAATGAGTAAGTTTCATACACTCTATAACTTAAGTTAATTCCATCTTATTTCCATTTTACTAACTCATTTCAATACAGGGGAAATCAGTTGAAATGCACTGTTTGGGATAACCATGTAGCTTCCATGCTACCATTCTACAATTCAGATCTCAAAGAACCAGTTGTTGTGGTTATTCAGCTTTGCAGGGCAAAAATTGTAAATGGTAAGCTGTTTAATTATTCCTAATATATATTAGATTTATATAAATAATGGTAAGACTTCTCTGACTTTTTTTTATGTTGTTTTATTAGGTGAAGTCAGGATCACAAGTTCCTATGATGCTACTAAGCTTTACTTGAATGCCTCTTATCAGGAAGTTGAAGATTTCAAAGCCAAGTAAGTTTCTATTATTTTTGTGTAACAGTGAAAAACACTGCTGTTTTTTTTTTTTTTTTTTTTTTTTAGTTACAGTGCTGTATTAAATCTTTTTTTTGGGTCTACACTGCTGTATTAATTTATTTTTTGGGTTTCTGTAGGATAACAACAGTTCATAGTCCTTTGAGAAGTATTACCACAAGTGCAGTTATGTCCCAGTCCACTGGCATTTCAGAATTCAGGAGTGGATCTCTGACTGTCACCTCAGTTGGTGATTTATTGAAAAGCAAACAGGTTTAAGTTGTTCTACTATTCTTATATTTTTAGATTTCTTACCAGTGATACTAATTAATGGCCAATGCTACTAAACAATTTCTTTGTTCAATGCAGGATGGAGATTTTTATGTTCCAGCACAAATTGTAGGAATTGAAGGTTCATTTAGTTGGATGTACATATCTTGCATGACCTCAGGTTGCAACAGAAAACTGAACCCAGATGGTGAGGATCTAATTTGTTCTAATTGTGATAAAAATTTCAAGGAAGGAATGACAAGATTTAAGGTAATTGTGAGGGTTATGGATAAAGGATTATCAGATGCTCCCTTCCTTTTATGGGATAGGGAGTGTTCAGACTTTGGTAGGAATCCCTGCTAACCTCCTCTACAAGAAATATAACATGGTAACCTCACTATCCTAAAGACATATCTTTCTTATAAAAAAGATAATACATCCAGACTATATTTCTGTTTTAACATTTTCTAATATGTATTTGTTTTGGTTATAGGTTTCAGATATTCCCAAAGAGTTGGAATCACTTATTGGATTGTCAATGATATTTAAGATAACATTGAAAATCAATCAAATGAGGGGAGCCAATCCAGCTTATCCTGTGATGAGATTGTTGAGGGATGAACTATTGGTTTCTACCTACTGTTCAAAGCTGAAAGACAACCAAGAGAAGGATCTTATATCTAAGATGATTGATGAAGATGAAGAGGAGGATGATGAATCTGACCAGGTACTACTATTTATTTTAGTATGCATTTATTTTTTTTAGATCTTTTGCCTAACTGTGAACACTAAATATCTGCTTCCATTTGCAGGAAGCCTCAAATGGTGAAAATGAGGTGAATAGCCCAAGTACTGGTCAGCAGACTCAGAGCCCTGTAGCTGATTTGGAGCAATGCACTGTGGTTAAGAGATCACTACTTGATGAGTTCTCTTCTTCCGGCAAGGTTAAGAAGCCTAAAGTTGGTCTGTAAAACAAAACAATTTGATATTCATGCTCTGTTGGTTTGTAATGGATAAAGTTTAAGACAATTGACCACCTTGGTGTGGTTTTGTGGTTTTGGATATGGCTTTTGGACAATCAGTTTTTGAACTAACTTTTTATGAGTAATTTCGTTTTTTTTTTTTTGGTATTTTGGTATTGTATTGTGTAAGTGACTTTATGCAGGTTGAATATCAAGAACCAGCAATGAAGGCTACCAGTTTTCAAGGAATCAGCTAAAAGCACAATCATATATTGTATTTTGTATGTAACTGTCTGAGTGTGTTGTATTTTTACCAAGTCTTTTGTAGTTGGAAGTCTTTTGTAGTTGTAATTTTTTTTTAGTATTCTTGAGATTTCTAATAGACTTGGATCTTATATATAAAAGTTTGTGGGATTATAAAGTGGGATCTTATATATAAAAGATTGTGGAATTTAGTCAGCTACATTTACCTAAAACAAATGCTTAACATACCAAAAAGTTGATGAAAGGTTAAACTACAACAATTCTTAGTTAAACAAAAGCTAAAGGAAAAACAAACACTGCTGCAAGTTCTCTGTAACATCCAACCACACAATTATTATCTAAAATAAACCTTAGTTGACTAAATATTTTCAGATCAAATTAGCTACTGTTAATGTTTTTTTTTTTTAAACCTAGAGGAAAAACAGAAGTGATGTATGCAAGTTTTCTGTCACATCAAGGACAATTATTATCTAAAATAGACTATAGTGCACTAAATATTATTAATTTTCAGATGAAATAAATCTAAAGTTAAAATATGTTACAACCATCATTTGCAAATAAAATCAAGAGGTAAGAAACAGATTTGTACTCATCATTTGCAAATAAAAGAACTAACTCTGGAAAGTATACAACCATCATTTGCAAATAAAATAACTAACTGTGGAAATACGACTGGACTCCTATAACTGAATTTAAACAATCCTGGATTTAAAAAGTCATAGAAATGGACTAATAAGAGACTTACATTATACTGTAAATCCCTAAAGCCTAAAAAAAACAAACGACAATTACTAATCTAAGAAAAAGAAAGTGAAAACATTTTGGCATAAGGTTTGTAACATCAGTAGTTGCCTATCCAAAAAACTGATTAGTAATACCACTTTTAAAATTTCATATAAAGGAACTCATATAAAGAATTTAAAGTCATTTTAAAAAGACATTTGTTATACAATTATAACAAACAGATATATCTGTTATCTAAGAAACAGATATTTAATTGTATAACACTTGGCATCAGAGTGTGAATATCATCATTTGCCTATAAAACTAAGCAATTAGTAATACCACTTATACCAATTTAACATCATTTTAACATCAGCCAATTCATATGATAAACCAGACAAGTAATAGGCAAATGATTTAGTCATTAATATCAAATTCAACTGTTCCCAAGAAAAACTCAACAGTCATACTAATCAATTACTGCTTAAGCATTTGGCACACAGAACACCCTTTTTGAGACAAACAACACAATCAAATAAATTATTGTGATATAAAACCTGAAATTAAACACACTCAGACAGTTAAAATATTTGCAATTTCAGTTTTACCACACAAAACAAATTCACTCAGTAATCATGCGGAAAATTCTAAGTTCTACGATTATAGGTAGCAAAAGGAAGCAGCCAATTAATACTCCAGGTAACCTATGCACATTAATATTTGAGTTTCAGAATTACCTTTCGCAAATGTTGTTGTATGTACACTATTGAGACAACTTTTACACCAAAACGCCATTGTTATCATTAATCTTGCTGTTATTGCTCCAGAAATTCCTGAAACCAAAATGACGATTAAAAATTCTTTCAAACCCTAACTGATTTTGTATGTATAACTAATCTATACACTAAAGTGAAACTAATGATTTACACAGATTAAAGTATAAAAACACAAAATGGATCAAAATTTTACCTGTATATTAGGTTTTCACACAACCGGTAGAATCCACAGTTAGGGTTTTTCACTCATCTCTAACCTCTTAGTCTAAAACAACATAAATGATTCTTAAACAGTAGATCGAACAAAAATTAGTGAGTTCGAACATTGTAAATGAGGTTGGTGTATAGACGAAACAATGGCTTTCTGTTAATAGCGATAGTAGGCGGTCACAATCAAATTGTGATAGAAATAGAGTAGACAACCTAAAGAATAGAGCAAAATGAACAAGATCGGAGTGTTTAGGAGCGATTTTACAGAGCGTTAGACACAGAGAGAGCTGAGGGAGTATGTCTGCAAGCAGAGTGAGTGTTAGAGAGAGAGAGAGCTAAGGGGGCGTTTGGTTCGGGTTATCTAAGATAACCAAGGTTATATTTGGTTGGTTATATAAGATTCCTATGTTTGGTTGGAGTTATGCAACATTCCCATGGAATAAAATTTACCCTCCACATCATCTTTTTCCCTCTTTTGAAGGGAATGTGATTCCCTTAGAATTCTTAGGTATTAAAAGATTCCCTTGACATTTTACTAACTTTGCCCTTCATTTTCCATCACATTGCTTTGTTTTTTTACCGAAAAAATAAAAAAAATAAAAAAATCAAAATTAACCTTTCGGTTAAAGCAAGCAAGCTAAGTTCACTTTGCTTAACATGAAAAATCAACTTTGTGGAAGCCACATTTGAATTTGTAGAAATTAAAGAATCTGTATGTATGAAGTCACGAGTCAACTTTTCGGATGAAAGAATGAAAATTATATATATATATATATATATATATATATATATATATATATATATATATATATATATCAAATTTTGCATGGTTACATGCATTGGAATATTGAAATGCATTAAAATATATTGAGGGTATTAAAGTAAAATAATCATCATAACATAAATAACAATACTTCAACCAAACATGTTTATATTATATATCTCAGTTTTTACCAAACACAGGAATCTAACATTCCCAGCAATCTAACATTCCCAGCAATCCAACATTCCCTAAGGTAATCTGACATTCCGTGAACCAAACGGCCCCTAAGAGGTTAGAGATGGTGTTCTAGGATGTCCGAATGCGTTAGTCCGGATAGTCAAAGGGAGAAGCGGGTCGGGTATAAGGAAATGTTAACGGGTCTTGGTTGTAGGGTCGGGTTTGGGCTGAGTGAATCTGGGCTTATTAATTTATAGATATTTTGTTCTACATTGGCTAAGTAGGTATTATGTGTCTATTACAATGGGCTAAGTATATATTAAAAGATTGATATAACTGGGCTAAGTATGGTCCAAGTAAATGTATACTCATCACAAAATTATGGTACATTTAGCCATGGGGATGTACATTATGGTTGCATTGAGTATACATTATATTAGGTAATGTACATTAAGTACAAAATTAATGTACATGTAATATATTTTAAATGTATTTTTGTTATGGTCCACATAACATTGTGTGGACCATGGTGTTTTACATTATTTTTGTTCTTATTCCGTACATTATATTAAGTAATGTACGTTAACTACAAAGTGTATGTACATTAGCTATATATTACAAATGTATTTTGTTTATGGTCCACGTAACCATGTGTGGACCATGGTCCACACAGTAATTTGTCGTATTTTGTCATGTGTTTATTTTGTACGTATTAATATACAAACGAAATATTAGCTAACCAATTTTTTAATATGTTGCAGAAAATGTACATACTGAGATGGTTGGAGCAAATACGGATGTTGTGGGAAAAAAAAATCAAACGCACTCATACACGGCAGGAACACCAATTTGCACTACTAATAGAACTGCAACACCCAACACTTGCGTCACGGATGGTAAATCAAAACAGTTTACTTTTTAATATATATGTTATTGTTCTTTTAGAGTCATGTATGTATACTTTTTTTTGCTAATGTTTATTTTATTGTATTTTCTCAAAACAAGAATTGGTCAGTATACACCTCGACGCACATAATATTGAATATACAAATAGCAACAGTAAATGCAGAAAATTCGTACTAGGAGTCAACAGCCCTGTTTTCGAGACCGGAAGTAGCCGCATAACTAATGGTACCTTCAATTACGTTTTACAATGTATCTTTGTCTTACTATATACTTCGTTAATTTATACGTTCCTATTTTGCGCACTGTAACGGTAAAAGGTCAAGTAAATCAATCCACAACTACAAGACGACCTCTTTCCGAAATATCAAATGGTACGTTTACTTGCTTTGTTTTTTTTTAATTATTAATGCACTGCGATATTATGAATAATATTTTAATAACGAACGGTTTTGTTAGTCAATAAGAACAGAAACATCATTCAAAACACACAGCTAGGGGCAGACCCAAAGGCAACGAATGTGCTTAATAGAGATTTATCTAGGGCGTTTGAAGAAGTCTCCAATATCCCAATAATATCAACAAGCATAAATGGAATAGCCAGTGGTAATTTGTTGGGCGTTAATTGCGATGTTATTATTTATTTTAAAGAAACATTGGAATCAATGGTCATCAATCGAAATTTGACTATACAGGATTCAATCAAAATGTTCAAGAAGAAGAAAATCTGACTAATCTATTACAACCGTCAGCTGCAAACAAATGTAGGTTTCAAATTTAAATTTATTTACATAAGATGCAAAGTAGTATGATCTTTTAATGGTAATAATTTATTTTGCATTTTTATACGTAGTGGAATACAATGATTTTGGTGATGCAAATAACACATGTCAACATTGCGGGGCGGTTTTTTGGCACGCAGAAAGGATAAACAAAACGGTGATTCACGGTACACCCAGATATACAATGTGTTACAACAATGGTAAGATTCAATTGCCAACAACACAATTGCCCCCGCAGCCGATATATGACCTTTTTCTTGGAGGTGGGAAAAAAAGCAAGCATTTCTTGAACAACATAAGGACGTACAATAATATGTTATGCTTTACCTCAATGGGTGGTAAGATAGATAGAGATGTCAACAAAAATGGGGGACCACTAGTTTTCCGAATACATGGACAAAACTTCCACTACATTGGTAGTCTTCTGCCGGTGGACGGGAAACGACCACATTTTGCACAGTTATATATCTATGATACTAATAATGAGATAGTCAATCGGCTCAGTTTCGTAAGGTATGCCTATATTGTTATATGTTATGGTTTAATATAATGGCGTATATTACTTTAACTCCCTTTCGAATTGAATCAAATACAACATTTGCTGTTATATTAATAGGCCAGACGGTGATCTTAGTGACATCCATGAAGAAATTGTCAAGGATATTCAACAAGCGTTGGATTCAGATAATGTGTTGGTCAAGTCCTTCAGAATGGCCAGTTCAGAAATAGAAAAAAATCCGGTGGCTGGGTAAAGATAAAATTGCTTGGTAAGAGATCAAAGGATGCGAGAACTTATAATCTACCTCAAGTTTCGGAAGTTGCTGCATTAATTGTTGGGGATATTGATGCAAATATTGGTGAGCGTGACATCTTAGTGGAAACAAAGAGTGGCCTATTGCAACGAATTAGTGAACTAAACCCAGCGTACTTACCAATGCAATACCCGTTATTGTTTCCTTATGGTGAGGACGGTTATAGGGAAGACATCCAGTTCTCAACATTAAAAGGAAACAGTTCAGGTGGTCGTCAGAGGATTAGTCCGCGGGAATACTTCTCATACCTCATCCAGTCAAGAGTGACGCAGCTTTCTACTTTACTGCATGCAAAAAGGCTTTTCCAACAATTTTTGGTCGATGCCTACACAATGGTGGAGTCAGGCAGGTTAATCTATATAAGGACCCACCAAAAAAGTTTGAGGTGCGAAACATATAATTGCTTGAATGATGCATTAACACGCGGTGAAGTGGATCCTCGGACTCAAGGGAAGATAATAATATTGCCTTCAAGTTTTACTGGTGGTGTACATGATACAGAATTACCAGGGCGCTATGTCTATATGTAGATGGGTTGGATACCCGGATCTCTTTATCACATTCACATGCAATCCAAAGTGGCCGGAGGTTAAACGCTTCTTGACTGATCGTAATTTAAAACCGGAAGACCGGCCTGACATAATATGCAGACTATTCAAGATGAAGTTGGATGCTTTAATTTCTGAATGCAGGAAGAACAAGTTGTTCGGACCCGTCATTGGAGGTACTTAACTATTTGTTTATGCCTATGAACTTATCAAAGTAAGCAATCTGTTGTATAACGTTGTTTATATTCTAAATGAAAACCCATTTTCCATGTTAATAGTTATCTATACCATCGAATTTCAAAAGTGTGGTCTACCGCACGCTCATATACTTTTATTTCTGGATAAGCAACAACGAGCATCACATGGGATACATTTGGACAACATAATTTCTGCTAAGTTACCTGATCCAATACAAGATCCAGAATACTTCAAATTAGTGGATGAGTATATGATGCACGGTCCTTGCGGTAGAGCTCAGTTGAATTCTCCATGCATGGCTAAGGGTAAATGTACTAAACACTTTCCCAAAAAGTTTGTTAATGTTTCTAATTTTGACGATGATGGCTATCCTATTTATCGGAGACGTGACAATGGTCGTTCTGTGGTGAGAAATGGGATTAATTTGGACAATCGCTATGTGGTGCCACACAATAGGCATTTGTTGCTAAAGTATAGAGGTCATATTAATGTGGAATGGTGCAACCAATCCCGTTCTATAAATTACCTGTTCAAATACGTCAACAAGGGTCACGACAGGGTCACCGCAGAGTTCTACCGCAGCAACAGCGAGGGAGATGAACCGCAAGTGATTGAAGAGATAAGTATGTATTATGATTGTAGGTACATATCTCCATGTGAAGCTGCCTGGCGTTTATTTAGTTTTGAAATACGGTTAAGAACACTAGCGGTTGAACGGTTAAGCTTTCACTTGCCCAATCAACAGAGTGTAGTTTTTGCAGATGATGATCCGGTTGATAACATACTCAGTCGACCAACTATATTACAAAGCATGTTTTTGGAATGGTTTGAGGCAAACAAAACATACCCAGAAGCAAGGAAACTGACATATGCTAAAATGCCAACGAAGTTTGTATGGAAAAAGGATATTAGAAAATGGCATCCAAGGAAAAGAGGGTTTTCAATAGGTAGAGTTTTCTATGTGCCGCCTGGCAGTGGCGAGATATTCTATTTGCGGTGTCTTTTGAATAAAGTTCAAGGGCCTACAAGTTTTGCAGATATCAGAACAGTAAATGGTGTGCAGTACGAATCCTTTAGGGACGCGTGTTCAGCTAGAGGATTAGTAGACGACGATAAAGAGTATGTTCATGTTATTGAAGAAGCAGGTCAGTGGGCCACATCTGCAAATTTGAGAAGATTGTTTGTGACTTTGTTGATGTCCAACTCAATGTCAAAACCGGAAGTGGTGTGGGAAGCTACGTCGAACTATTTGACTAAAGATGCAGAATTCCATATTAGACAACAGAAGGGACTTGGAGGTATTCAATTTTTGTTAATGTCTTTCTTCATGTTATGCAATATGTTTTTATAAACACACTTATACTATTTTTTGGATAATGATACCACAGATTTAATTTTATCTGAGGATCAAAAAAAAAATTATGCACTTTCGGAGATCGAACTACTTCTGACAACTATGAGAAAGAGTTTGAAAGACTTTCCTTCAATTCCCTCTCCTGATTTACAGCTTCTGGACAGATCAACCAATAGGTTAATACAAGAGGAATTGTCATATGACATTAATGCAATGAAGGCAGAGAATGATAGTTTGGTGGACCAACTCACTGAAGAGCAAAAACAATATATGATAACGTATTGGACGATGTTGAGAATGAGTTGGGGGGATTGTTTTTTGTGTACGGATATGGTGGTACGGGTAAAACCTTCTTGTGGAGAGCATTGTCTTCCGCTTTGAGGTCAAAGGGTGAGATTGTTTTAAATGTTGCATCGAGTGGCATAGCTTCTCTATTATTACCAGGGGGAAGAACAGCGCATTCAAGGTTTGCAATACCAATCGCTGTTAATGAAGATTCTACTTGCAATATCAGTCAAAGCAGTCCGTTGGCACACTTAATAATGCAAAGTCGGTTGATCATTTGGGATGAGGCACCAATGATGCATAAATTTTGCTTTGAAGCTTTGGACCGAACTATGCAAGATCTACTGCGTGTTCAAAATCCAAGAAGCTTTGAAATGACATTTGGTGGGAAAACCGTTGTGTTAGGTGGAGACTTCAAACAAATTTTACCAGTAATTCCAAAGGGGACCAGGCAAGATATAGTGGGTGCAAGTATAAATTCATCATATCTTTGGAGAAGCTGTAAAGTATTTAGGCTTACAAAGAATCTGCGGCTTAAAGCATTGCAATCAGAGTCTAGAGTTCAAGAGATTGAAGAATATGCAAAGTGGATTGCTAATATAGGTGACGGAACTATTGGTGATTCGTTGGATGGTGAATGTGAGATCAACATTCCAGAAAAATTCTTACTCAGGTCGGTGGAGGATCCTATTTCTACGATTGTTGATAGCATATTCCCGGGGTTTCGTAATGGAATTCGAGATGTCAAATATCTAAAAGACTGTGCAATTTTGGCACCAACTTTGGACGTGGTAGATAACATCAATGAATACATGAATGAATTTAATACTACCGAAGGAATGACATATCTAAGCTGTGATTCGGTGTGCAAATCGGATTCCAATGTTGACATGCTTGCTGATCTACACACACCGGAGTTTTTAAATGGATTACGATGTTCTGGAGTGCCAAATCACTCATTGACTTTAAAAGTTGGATCACCCGTTATGCTATTGAGAAATATTGATCACTCATTGCGGTTGTGCAATGGTACAAGAATGATCATTTCAAAGTTGGCTACACATGTTTTAGAAGCGCAAATATTGACCGGAACAACTGCTGGTACAAAGGTTTTAATACCAAGGATGTCCTTAACACCGTCAGATCCTAGATTGCCTTTTAAGTTTCAAAGAAAACAATTTCCGCTAATGTTGTCATATGCCATGACAATAAACAAAAGTCAGGGTCAAACATTGTCAAACGTCGGTTTATTTTTGAAGAGGCCGGTATTTAATCACGGACAACTATATGTAGCAGTGTCAAGGGTTAGTAATCCTAGCGGATTAAAAATGTTGATTTGTGATGAAAATGTACAATCCAAAAATACGACTACAAATGTCGTATATAAAGAACTTTTCAATAATGTGTAATAAAAATAGCAGTTCATACTATTACTTTTAATTGTAAGGCATTACGTATTACTTCTTAGATTTATGACCGTGCATCGCACGGGTGCAAATACTAGTTTATCTTTAATCAAAACACCAAAAATATTATTTAATAACTAAGTAATTTGCTCTAAACTACTAAAAGCTAAAACAACACATACATTTTGGGTTAATCTTTCTTAACCCCCACTAATAAATAATAAATAAATAAAACTAAAATAAGAAGACAAAGCTAAGGTTTATTAAATAAGAACATTTTGACTTCTTAATACTCGCTACATCGATGGGCACACAATTATGTTTGTACCTCTTATATAGAGGAGCTAAAGAGCTCATATTTTCAAACATTTTCAATGTGGGATGAAAATGAACCCACATCATTTACAAAGGGAGCCTGTGGCTCCCCTTTGTCTTCTGTTCTTTTTTTTTTTCTTGTTAATTTTAATTTTATTATGTATATAGTTTTTTTTTTGGATTATTATTATTATTGTTGTTGTTGTTGTTGTTGGTGTAATTTGATTATTTGGCAAATTCACCAAAATTTTAAGAAATTCGTCTGTTTAATATTTTATATTTAACCAAAAAACTAAAAATATTATTTAATAACTTAGCAATTTGCTCCAAACTGCTAAAAACTAAAACAACATATACATTTTGGGTTAATCTTTCTAAACCCCCACAAATAATAAATAAATAATTAAATAATAAAAAATAATAAATAATAAAAAATAAATAATAAATAATAAATAAATTAATAAAAACTAAAATAAGAAGACAACGCTAAACCTTCTTAAATAAGAACCTTTTGACTTCTCAATACTTGCCCACATTGATGGGCAAGTAATTATGTTTGTAAGAGGAGTTTTGCTCCTCTTATATAGATGAACTCTCTCTTTTCAAACATTTTCAATGTGTGATCAAAATGATCCCACATCATTTACAAAAGGAGTATGTGACTCCTCTTTGTATTTTTTTTTTAATTTTATTTTGTATATAGTTTTATTTGGATTATTATTATTATTATTATTATTATTATTATTATTATTATTGTTGTTGTTGTTGTTGTTGTTGTTACTATTGTTGTTGTTGTTGTTATTGTTATTGTAATTAGATTATTTAGAGAATTCTCCAAAATTTTAAAAAAATCATCTGTTTAACATTTTATATTTAATCAAAACATCAAAAATATTATTTAATAACTTAGCAATTTTGCTCACTGCTAAAAACTAAAACAACACATATACATTTTGAGTTAATCTTAGCCAAATCCCCTAATAAATTAAAAAAAAAAAAAAAAAAAAAAAAAACTAAAATAAGAAGCCATTAAAATAAGGTTTCTTAAATAAGAGCCTTTTGAAACGTTGGGCTTCAATAGGTTGAGAAAGTTTATATGAACAGATACTACATGTAACACGGTGAATCGAATAGTTATGTTGTGGAACCGTATCCACTTTGCAAGGTGGATATAGTTCTATGTTCATAATTACTGAACTATATGTTCATAATTATAAAGCTAAATATTCATAATCTTTGAACTTCATATTCATAATTATTGAACTCTATATTCACAACTACAAAACTCTATGTTCATAATTACTGAACTATATGTTCATAATTATAAAGCTATATATTCATAATTTTTAAACTTCATATTCACAATTATTGAATCTCTATATTCATAATTACATAACTATGGCCCTGTTTGGTAAAAAAATTGGCCTATAGGCCAATTTTGGCTTATTTGAACACTATTAATTGTTTGATTTAGTTAAAATAGCAATATAAAATGTTTGGTTAATTAGCATTTTGCAACTCCAAAAGGCTAAAATTCAAAAAGCTACTCCAAACAACTTTTTCAATTAACTTTTTGAGAACACTTTCCTACAATCAGCTAATGTTATTGTTGGTCCCAAAAGGGTGGCGAGAAGTCTAGAGGGGGGGGGGTGAATAGACTTCTCTAACTTTTCAAACTTTCTTCGAAAACACACAAGGCAAAAAAAAAAAAACACTTTGATAATTTCAACTCTAAGTAACAAGCATCAACAAGATAAACAACTTAGAGTGTGCAGCGGAATAAGTAGCGGTAAAGTGTTATGCTCAATTAGTGCGGTGCTCAAAGAGAGATTCTAAACATGCAACACGTTAGAAACACTTGATATGATTCAAAGATGATGAACGTAAAATTTGGCTTGCATGCAAACGTGGGAACTATCAAACCCAGACAGATAAAGATATGCGATAAATCGTAATCGGGTTAGTTCGCAGTTAGAATAAGCATGCACAAAATAAATGAGCAGTATGTAAATAGAGAGAGAGATTTATAGTGGTTCAGAGGTGGTGTAATCCTCCTAATCCACTCTTCTCCTTTCACTTCAAGGAGGAAATTCACTATTCTTCGATCACCCAGATACAATAGTGAATAAGTGTCCACCGACACTTCTCCGAGTGCTTCGCACAAAGCTACACTCCTCCAAGGTTTTTCGCAAGCTCCTCTTGTTACTCCGCCTTCCCAAGTACTTCGCACCAAGCTGTACTCCTACACCACGAGAACTACGCACAAAGCTACGTCCTCACAGGGTTTTCACAAGCTCCTCTTGTTACTCTGCCCTTTACAACGAGTGCTACGCACAAAGCTACACTCAACCAGGGTTTTTCACTCTCTCTAGTTACTCCGCCCTCTTTCTACACTCAGTAGAGAAATCTACAAAGAGATAAAATTTTTCTCTCACTCAGACTTGAATTTAATTCTATGAAGCTCTGTTTCCCCTTTTTTCGGCTAATTGAAAAAAAAGATTGTATCTTTTGCTTGTATGTCTTAGCCGTTGTTCAAATCGTTGAACTGCTCAAATCGGGGTTCTGTCTCTTTTTTTTCGCTGCTTGTCTTCAAGTCTGCTTGGACAATTTATAGCCAATGAAAGCTATTTGCCCGTTGATCAACTTTCGATCTCGATCATCCATTTTGAATTGTAGTTGATCAACTAATATTGTCAACTTGATCTGAAATATTAGGTAGATGTCATTTCTCCTTTTGTCAGATGATTTGAATAATTTGCCCGTTGCCGTGTCTTGAATTTTGTAGCCTGCAAAATTTGAATAAGTTCGGCGCGGCAAGCTTGATATTTCTTGTCCTTCATAAATGCTCTGACATGTCAAGTTGATCAAATAATTTATCTGTTGATTCTTGCTTGAGTATAAAATAATTTCTCCGCAAATCAGCCTTCTTCGAGCGTCTCCGATTCCACCGTAAAAACTTGATGTTCAGATGAAAATATATCAGATATTTTCTCCTTCATGATCCTTGTAAAATAGTATACTGGAACCTCTGTAAAAACTTCACAGTTTGTTCATGGTGAGATGCTCTGTTTCGATTTTAGGTTTGGTCCACCATACTTGGTGTGTTTCTTCATCTGGTGCATGGTTCTTGTGAGAGTTGTGCATTCACCTTACTTAGTCTCCATATTGGCTAGTCGCCCAGCTAGTCTCTTCTCCCTTGGCTAGTCTCTCTTGGGTAGCTAGTCTCCAAGTTAGTCTCTCATACGGTCCAATACACTTGAGCTAGTCTCCCATACGGTGGAGGTTAGTCTCCCATACGGTCCAAGCTAGTCTCCCAAGCAAGTTAAAAATGCTTTACTTGAGATTCCAACTTAGAGTCACTTGGCATAGCTCACACATATTTCTTCCAACTCCTCTAACATGGTTCTTGGTAACTTATCCGCATCATAATTGTGTTAAGCTATAATCCCGCTTAACTTCTTCAAATAAATTATGATCTTCCAGACTTGTACATGGGTTGCATGATATGGGTGCACCATACTCTGTAGACTTAAACTGACTCAAATAGAATAAAAATGGGGACTACTTGATTTTTCAAAAATACATTCGGCTCATCAAAATTTACAAAATATTCCTAACAATTTCCCCCTTTTTGATGATGCCGAAACTTATACCCAAGTCATTTTGGCATTGTCAATTTTGAAAAATAATTTCTTTTTAATTGCTTTTATTTCGACTAGCCAATTGACGGGTTTAACAAAAATTGTGACTTAGATATTTTAAAATTCGGACAACCTAACCGTATAAATGAGACTTTGATCGTGGGGTGTTCAATTTTCTTTTAGCTTGAATTTTTCTTCCCCCTAAATTTTATATCCTCATTTTATACGTGTTACAATGTTAATTCTAAGTCCAAATTAAAATCTTGTGACATAAAAACACAAAATGAATAAATTAACTAAGACAGATTAGTATGGTACGAAATATTGTCATGCATTGTGAACCCATTTTAGCTTAGCATAGATATGATATCAAAAAGTAATGTGCTAGCTAAAATATATTATACACCAAAAATCGAATTTGTCAACCAAATTTGTTACCTCCCTTTCAACTTGGTATTGATGAATTCTCTCAATTTCTTGAAGTCCTTCTCAAGGCCCTTGTGTTTATACGGTGCGGCTACTTGTCCGGTGATGTAGTTGCCATAAGCTTCTCTTATGTTGTCTCCTTTCAACACTCCAGCTTCATGCCAAAAGATGCACTCATCAAGTGTTCGGCCATCGCTCATTTGCTCACTTCGGTGTCCGAACTCCGTTTGAAGCTCTTGCAATTTTTGTATCCTTGTAGCAATTGGCTTCGGCATTGGAGGCATTGGTGCAATCGGCGTAGGTGGCAACACACCATGAGAGGTTGAACTCAAGCTAGGACGAGTACCTCTAAGATAGTCCATCATGCTCCCTCGGCTTTGACTTCTTGGTGATGACGTCCCTCGGCTTTGACCTCTTGGTGATGACGTCGGTCGAACAAGTTCAACTCGTGGTCCTCTTGGAGCTCTCGGCTGTGCAAAGGCATAAGCTTGTGGCCCAAAATGACGTGCTAATCCTTCCCCCTTTTCGGCAGCATCCACGAATCTTTGAAAGCTTTTGGTGGAAGAATCTTGCTTGTCACGAACTCCCTCAAGTAGGTCCATGTTGATACGTGATTGTTGA